GCCCATCTTGGGGTAAAATTGACGCATTTGAGGATACTCACCAAGTGCTACAAAAAGGCTCTAGAATTTTAGCAATATAAGAGAAGTAATTGGCAAACTCTGCATGCCTCAGCCGACTGTGATGCCTCTGAGAAGCCTGGAACCCACACATCTGTTCTTCTGCACTTACAGTCACCCCATAATCTGACCTGTCATCTTTCTTCTTTTCCCAAATCTCATTCAGCAGAAGGCAAAACAGCAACTCAGTGGCATAGATAGAATAGGTCCCCAAATTGCAATTTCCTCCATCCTCAAAGATAGATTGTACAGAGGTACCTGTGGAGAGCAGAGTCTGAAGTTTGGTGGGAAAATCTGTACAAAGAGCTGCTATCTTTTCCAGGTTTTCAGATGTACAAGAGGATGAGACAAAAGACATTAAATTAGTGACTTTTCCCATGTGCACTCAGTTTCTCCACAGTTTAGTACCTAATCAGGAGTGCTACCATTTCCCAGAAGAAAATCAGAGGACAAAAGTCCTGATTTCTGTAGAGTCACTGGCATCTGTTTCTAGAAGCCAGTTGGTATGAAGAATGACTACTAGCTGTGTGAAGACAAATGACCTGAACCACACCCCATGTCATGTTGTCATGCTTGCGACACCAGAATAGAGCTCAAGCAGTTCATAGGGCATTGTTGCCCCTGTTCTCAGCAAAAGGACAGAAGTTCTTATTGGTCACAGTAGCATTCTGCAGGCAGGCCCCAGTCAAGAAATAGACACCAGTCTGAAGAGATAGCTCCACATTTCCAGAGGAGACATGACTCCCTACAAGAGCCAAGGGCTTCAGAAAGTTGCTCTTTCCCTAGGTTGAGTAGGAGGTATTGGGTAGACATCCTGGACACCTCTGGGAATGTTTGTTGATATAGGAAAACATTACCCACAAGGATTCAGCTTTGCATGGTAAATATACATTTATTTTCATATAAAATTCAAATTTCATAATTTTTCACTTCTAGGGAATTCTGACCAGGGGGTTTTCATTTAAGGACTATTTTCCATTACTAGTTTTATTTAAATCTTTAAAAATTATTTTTCCTGAGGTAACAGTTGTTTACAGTACCATATACAACTTGAGTATTTCAGATGTATGTTAAAACACTATCTCCCACCACCAACATACCCATAACCGCCCACCATCAGTCTTCTCCCCCATTTGCTCTTCTCTTCCCACCCCCTCCTCGACTAGTAGCTAGTGACTGTCTTTAAATATAACTCACAGAGGTCAGCTATGTGAAGGATCCCCACATCATCAGGAGACAGGTTCAGCTGTTAGGCAGTCAGCCGGGCACCATGCCCTGAAACAGCTGCAGCAGACACTCAGCAGTATCCGTACTACTGACCTCAAGATGAAGCTCATGAAGAGCCTGCAGAAGACATCTCAAGCCCAGATTCGTGGTAGGCTCTTAAAATTTGCCCTGGCTCTATGCCTTTAACTGGGCTATTAGTTTAGTGATCCTACTATGGGACAGCTCTTGGACTGCTCGCCCTGGTACTGCCCTTTTTCATCAAAGGACCTATGGAGTTCCCTTGACCATAGCCAGCCAGTCACCTTATACTTTTATTTTCATGAAGAGTCATATTTGCTGGAATAATGTATAGAGAAAAGAAGTAGTAATGGCAAAGACAATCATACTTAAACTGGAGACTTTTAAAAAGCCTTCAGTAGCTTTTTCATGCTTGCTTTGAAAATTATCTGGAAGCATACCATCCATATGATTTATACAGAGAGGAAGTAGCTGCACCTGGAAACTCCCAGAAGAATTTGCCTGTATACTTTCCGGACTGGGTCCTCCCTGGTGGCACAGGGTTTAAGTTGTAGCACTATGACCATATCTGCAGCCACTGCAGCAAGAAATCAATTCCCTGTCAGGGAGCTGACCCACATGGTGCAGCAGACCTCTCCTGTCTCACCCGCTGCTCCCCTCAGCAATGTATTACAGTAGATCTGCCTATTTAGCTCTGACTCTGTCTCTGATGAATCCTCTCACCCCTGTACCTCTGGTCTGCACCCCAGCTCTTGTATGTATATGTAAGTAAATCTTTTTTTAAAAATGGTCTGAGCTAAAAGTATACTTTTCTGAAGATAAATGAATAAGTTCAAAAGTTTTCTCTAAGGTAAAGAGAGTCAAATTCAGTGAGAGAAAGAGAGCACAAGCATGTGAAAGAGAGCTTTCTTTTGAGTACAGTTTTAATTTCCTTTCTTTTTTTTTTTCCAAAGAGCTATTTATAACAGGTTATATGAATTCTAGCTGAGGTTTTAGATTTACAGAAGAATTACGTAGAGCACCTTCTCTTTGTGTAGTACCTTTGCTATATAAATGATGAGCCAATATTTACATTCCACTAACTAAATCCAGAGTTTACTTTACTCTGTGTTATATAGCTCTCGGGGTTTTGGTGGATGAATAAATAATGTCCAATATTGCAGTACCATACAGAATAGCTTCACTGCCTCAAAAAAGTTCCTGTTCAAACCTTCAAACCTCCAACTAATTCTTCTCTGTCATCTCCTCCCAACACCTGGTAACTTCTGATGATTTTGCTGTGTGTATAATTTTGCCTTTCCAGAATGCTGTGTTGTTGGGTCCTATCTATGTTGTCTTTTCAGATTTGTTCCTTTGACTTAGCAATATGCATTTAAGTTTGGTTCTTCCATGTCTTTTTATGACTTAGAGCTCTTTCCTTTTTTAAATCACTGAATAATATTCACTGTAGGAGATGTATTACCGCTTAGCCATTCACCTACTGAAGATCATCTTGGTTATTTCCAAGTATTGGAAATTATGAATAAAGCTGCTGTTAACATCCATGTGCAAGTTTTTGTGTATATGTAAGTTTTCACTGATTTGGATCAATACACTGAAGGATTGTATAATCAGTCTGTGTTTAATTTTATCAAGAGGCTGTGTGCTTGGCAACATACATCTGAAGAGGTGCAAACCTATATCCCTAAATCATACACAATGTTATAAAACCTCCATTAGAAAAGTTACAAAAAAAATTCAGTAAAACCTTAAATAGATTAGGTTAATTTTGAAACAAAAAAAAAAATCCAAACAATCCTGCATTGCAAATTATTACTGATTCTTTAGTGGTCTTGAAAAAAATCTCAGTTTAGCTCTTAAAACTATTCATCCACTCTTATTTCTTCATTCCCCTGTGTTTATGGTAATTCTCAGCACATGATCATTTTGTGTGACCCCCCCCAAAGAGAAGGCAAAGCCATAAAACCTAATAGACAGCTGATTTTTTATTTTTTTTCTGCTATAATAGTTTCATTAGTAAGACTTTAAAAATGTGTTATATAGGCCCTCCCTGGTGGCGCAGCGGGTTAAAGCACTGCACTGAGAAGCTAGAGCCACTTTCACATGAGTTTGATTCCTGCCTGCCCCGGAGGTGACCACATGGTGTGGCAGACCTCTCCTGACCCACCCGCTGCTCCCCTCAGCAGTGTACTTTGTTGATCTGCCTGTTCTGCTCCCCACTCTGTCTCTGGTGAAGCCTCTCACCGCCCCTGAGCCTCTGGCCTGTACCCCGGTTCTGTATGTACAAATAAATAAATTTTTTAAAAAAAATGTGTTATATAGCCAAAGGTAAGTATACAGAAAAATAATACTAGGTTAAGTGTGTAGAAAAATAATGTTTCAGTATGGCCCCCGGGTGACAATTTCTGTTTTCACTAAGATAAAAAAGCAAGCTCCCCTGCTAGGAATCTGAGGGTATGGGACTGGAACTTGAGGAGCATGCTACAATTTGAGTGACTGTTGGGAAAATGGAGAGGGAGCTTAAGACACACCGAAAATTTGGAAGTGTGCTGAGAATGGAGTAAAATTAGAAACTGTATATTGTAGTGACCCTTGGCCTTGAGGTCTAAATTTTTTCTCCTGCAGTATTCTGTGCTACAGCAAAAATGGACAAGATCACTGGTTGGTGTGCAGTCGTATTTGGCTTGGAGGATATAGTTAGGGATGTGAGCATATGCTGTGTTGACCTCGTGTTGTAGATTTGGCAACTTCAAATTCTGGCTCTGCTTCTTACTGAGGTCATGTTGGAAATGAAATGTTTCTGAAAGTATTAGGATGAAGATGTAGGTAGCTGACTAGCTGAGTGCAAAAGCCTTAACAAATTAAATTAATATTATTAACTTTAAGAGCCTTCTTAACATCTGGCCCCCTACTTAGAGGTTTGAGAACGGGTAGGATTTCGCTGAAAGTTAATTGGAGCTTCTCGCTGTCCAGGACCTGAGTTCTCAGGTCTCAGCCTTTGCTTCAGAGCCAGTTTCCTAGGGCCACTTCTAAGAGTACTTTCCTAGTACTCACGATTGTCTCACACTCATGGTCTTGAGATATTTCTGAGCCTCTTTCAGTTAGATGCCAGGTTCTACCGAAGTGTGAGTTCAGTCTTTGAACTATGCATTTTTAACCTTATTTTTCATCAGCCAAACGTAAACGTTACATCAGGCTTTAATCTTTTGAGAGCAAAACCCAAAATCCCACTTCGTTCTCACTGATCATTGAACAATCTTGATGGCAGCTCGTGCGGGAATCTCGGCAAAAGCCCAATCCATTGCCAGCGTCGGTCACCAAGCCTCCCTGGGAGAGGAGTTGGAGGAAATGGGCCGACCCACCTCCTAGAGGAAACACCTGACAATTGCTGGCAGGAACCTGACAATTGCTGGCAGGAGTTCCCTCCAGCCATACCTGGCTCTTCCCCCAGATACTCTTCCGGAACTCTTGTAGTGCCCTTTCTGCTCCTCCCCCACTCGTTAGAGTCCATTGGTGGTTTCCTCAGGGAGGCGGAGTCTTCTCTTAACGCTGATTGGCTCCGATCCTCGTCCACGAGTGAGTCACGAACGAGGCGTGCCTGGTCTCCGAGGTAACGCTTCTCCGCCAACCCTGATTGGTCCTTGTCTCGATCTTATCTTCCGTCTGAACAGTGAGTGGCTCAGTCCCCTAGCGGAGCGCTGTGGTGGTAGGTGTCGGTAGAGGGATTTCCGAGTTGACGTGGCATAAATTTGGGAGGCGGCAGCTGCTGCCTGTGGCATTCGACAATAAACGGTGAGTGGGGGGGACACCGTCCAACTCCTCCTCTCCTGAGTGCTTTAACGGTCACCTCTGCCAGCGGGGCCGCCGGAGGGCCACTCTGGGTTCCCGCCCCTCCTGCGCCGGACTCAGTCCGGATCCAGCCCTTCAGCGGCTCCCTTCCCTTCTCGGCCTAGTTCTAGTCAGTCCCCCACAGGCCAGCAGGTCTCGCCGGAGGACTTCGAGGCTACACCGCACTGCCTCGGGGGCTCACGGGCACCGTCTGCCTCTTTCCGGTGACATTTGTCCTCCGGGAGCCACCGACTGAGGCGCCGGGGTCATTCCTGTCCGGAAGGCCTTGTTCTCTGAGCTGTCTGTTCAGGCAGACCTCGGTACGCAGCAACTAATGTGGGAGAGAACCTGTCGGTTCCCAGTGCTAAGGCCCAAAACAAACTTAGCCTGCGGAAGGGGAGGCTGGACCCAAGCAAACACCCAGTCTTGAGAGCAGAAATGGCAGAATTATTCGACGCGAAAAGTGTCTTGTCTAATGATCCTCTAAGGAGTTGCTGGAGAGATTCAGAGAAAGGGTGATCCTTGTGACCCCGTAGATTATCAATTTCCAGTAACCAGAGAGATGGGGAGGCTAAAAGTGTTTCCTTATTTTTCAAGAGGTCTGTTTGGTTTCCGAGGATCCTCTATGGCTCTCTCTTTTTGGAAGACTTCCTTCCTTTTGAGATGCATTTTCCTCTCCAAAACAGTCTTTCCCAGGTTTTTGTTGTTGTTGTTTTTTTATTTTTTCCTCTCACTGCTTGATTCTTAAAGGTCCCCTCTCCTTTCTTCTTTCGGCATTAATGTGTTAATAAAAGGGGTGTCGATTTTACTTTTGTTTAAGGAGTGTATGGTGAACTTTCTGGTGAACCCTAAAGGTAGTAGCAGTAGGATCCCAGTTGTGTAGAATAGAAATTTTAAATATAACAGCTGGGCTGGAGAAGTGGATGGGGTGGTTGGTGAATCTCAACTGAAAGTAATGGAAATGGCCGGTGAGTAAGATACATATTGATATATACAGTAAGATACATGATTGATATATACATATTGATATATATTTATAGACCTCTGTTAGGTCTAAAAGAGCTCGGCTTAAGTTCAGAAACTATTATACTTTATGAAAAATTGTATCGGTTAGATTTTTTTATAAAGGTTTCATTTAAAATAAAGTACTGTTACAGAATCAAGCCCCAGTTCTTCCCTTCAAGAGCCGCAAGCAACCACGGTAGCACTGTTATATCATGATGGGATGCTAAGATGAACATTCTTGTCTTAAGTGCCAGGCCAGGCAGTATCACTTTGCTTATAGTATGTGTTCAATATATATCAACTGTAGTTTTGTTACTTCAGTGATAGTTGATAGTTACCAATAAAAGAGAACCTTAAATCTACTTAACCTAATTCCAAGCTTTCCTTACAATGCAGAGATGTTGAGTCCATTATCTGGCCTGGCACATGTTGTTTTCCAAGACTTACCAGGAGACACTGATCGAAACGCAAGGCCTTTAGACCCTATGAGTAGATTTGTTCTGAATTAAATTGACAAGAACGGTGGTCCATATATCTTAAGGAGAACCATTTGAACTAGAATGGTGTAAGCCCTCTTCCTTTTGCTATGTGGAAGAGAGGGAGAGGATCACAAAAGTTTTTTAAGATTTTTTATATTTATGAATAAAAGAACGGGGAATCGGTCAGAGATGAAGGAGGTAAGAGGATTCACTAGACAAACAGGGGAGCAAAATAGCAGATGCAATAACTGCTGAGAGGAACAGTGGACAGACAGAGCAGTCTGCTGTGCCACATGTGGGTTAGCTCCCTGGCGGGGCTTGAACTCAGTATCAGTAGTGCCAAGACTAATCTCTGTGCCACCAGCAGGGCCCAGAAGATCAAAATTATTGAGACTTTGACCTTGTAAGTTTCAACTGAGAACCAGGTAATGGGAATCAAATTGTAGCTGAGATTTGGAAATGGTTCTCAGCACCAAATTGTTTTAACTCCTCCTTGAGTGTATACTCTGGTTCCAGAGTCAAGTTTGGAGTGACCAAATGGTGGCATTGCGCACATTTTGGGTTTAATATTATCTGCTACTGTAAGTTCATCTACAACTATTCATAGATGGTATTGTATTTTCTGGACACCACATAAGGCATCAAAAGAAGCCCTTCAGTTTTCTGAAAAGACAAGAAATATTTCTTAGTTATTCAGAGAAATTTTGTTCACCTGCTCTCTTAATTTTAAATGTTGGGTTCTGCTGCCCTTTGGTAAAATGCATATAAAAAGGTTATAAATGATGAAGTCATTATAAAGTGATTCATATTTACAAAATAATTTATTGTAATGGCAAGGATAATGGTATTAGATCAGATTTAGAAATATGTTTTAATTAAGAAGATGAAGTGTGCAGAAAATAACATGAAGTTAGAATGAAAGAACTTCTGTATGGAAACTAATAATGTTTACCTGGTGCGTTGACAACTTTTGTCTAAATGTTAGGAAGCACCTCAAGAATTCGCTATGGAAAGTACTGATGAAACACAAACTGATGTTACCCAGAGACTCTACTATGCAGAACAGTTGGTGTTGGAACTGAAAAATGTCATTAAAGAGAAGGATGTTCAGCTTGAAGAGAAGGATAAACTTCTAGAGGTATCATGTTTTCCCCCCTTCTTTATTGAGCATTTGATAAATTTGATAGAAATACCATTACTTAAGATTTTTCTCCTAACTTCGACTATAAGACAATCCAATTCTTATTTCCCGAGTACTACCAGATGGTGCCAACTGAGTAACTTCTCCTGTGGTAGATAAGTGATACATAGTCATTTAAGTGTTTACTATCATTATTTTCTAACAGGAAGTAAAAAGGTCTGCTGAAAACAAAATAAAAAAAATAAAACTCCATGCTAAGGCCAAAGTAACTTCTTTGAATAAACGTATAGAAGAAATGAAGACACAAGAAGAGACTGTTCTGCCAACAGCCCCTCATTTGGAGGATCAAATCTATAAGGTATGTGGTGGCTGGTTGTTTTCTGAGGAGCGTAAGACTCCAAGTTGAGCCTCTCTTCACTAATCACAAACATTTATGATGCTAAAATAACAGCAAGAGCTGCTGGCCTTTGTTAGTGAATTTGCAGTCTCAATGGGCTTATGAGTTCCATATAAAGAGATTAAAAACTCAGCAGAAAATTTGGATATGAAATGCCAGTTTGCGCCTAGATTTTCAGTAAATTAAAAACAGTTAAAACGGGTACTGGATGAGGTATTTAGGAAATAGAACCCCATACCTCTCACAACCCATCGGAGGATAAAATAAATGGTCTCTGTAGGTTTGAAAATCTTTCACTAAGTGACTTGACTCTGCACATTTCATGTCCTTAGTGGTCACAAAGTAGTGAATTTGTGCATTTCAGCCTGAATAAATTGGACTGCCTTGGGCTCAGTCTAATAGAAGTAATCTCAAGCAAATGAGTGTGATCGCTGCAAACAAAACAGAGTAATGTTGGGGTTAGGCAGAAGAGTAAGGAAAGCTGCACCTTTCAGAAATATAGGTTTATCCCAATATTTTTCTTATTTTTTTTCCGATGGCTAAACTGGAGAACAAGAAACTTGAGTTTGTGGGAAAGTTTGATACAGATTATCTGCCACGGACATGTGCATTCTGTATTTGGCCCAGACTTTGCTTGCCATAAGAAGTCCCTTCTTCTCTTAGTTTTACCTTTAGACCTCCTCTTACTCTTATTCTTAGTTTTTTAGTTATTGGGATATGAGGTGGTCTAGGGACAACTCTGGATTCCATAGGTAGCTCCCTGTATCCTGGTTGGTTTTTCTTTTCTCTGTCTAATGCTAAGGAACCTCTTTTCTAGATAGTTTGCCTTATTTAAATTGGCAAACTTATTTTAGAAGCTTTTCTAAATTTTTTCAAACAGTTTCTTCATCTTGATTTTTAATTTTGTTTTTTTCCTAAAAATTGTTTCTTGCTCTGGCGGTTGTAACACCTACCTGTCTCTCCCACGTTGGTTTGTTTCTTCTGACTTTCCCTCTGCTATTTTAGATTTTTTCCTTAAGATTTATTTATTTGGGGGGAGGGAAGTGCACAGGACTATGGTGATGGCACATGGGTGACTTGGTGATGGGAAACCCATGGGGTTACAATTGAGATGAAAAAAAAAGTATAAAGTGATGTAAAAATAAACTATTATATTATAAGAAAATATTTATTTATACATACAGAACTGGGGTACAGGCCAGAGTACAGGGGCAGTGAGATGTTCCACCAGTATTAGAAGAGGAGGACAGGCAGATCAATGAAGTACACTGAAGTACACTGCTGAGAGGGACAGACATGACAAAGTCACCTGTGGGGCTTGAGATGGAACTCCCATGGAAGTGGCTGCAGCCAGCTTTGGGTGCTGGACTTTAACCTGTTGCACTACCAGGGAGGACCCTACTATTTTAGATTTTAATAGTATATTTTATACTCAGCTTCTTTATTTAAGCTTTGCGATCATAAGGCAATATCTCACAGCTTCATTTCCATCCTCTGTTAAAAAAATAATTTCTAACTTCCAGCACTCAGTCACAAGGCCAAATCAATCTTGTATATCTATTACATAATATCATGGGGAAAACACTTGGAATAATGACAATTGCCAGATGCTTGACAGAATATTATGTTGAAAAATCACTAAGTGGGCCCTCCCTGGTGGCCCAGCAGGTTAAAATGAAGCACTATGAAGCTGTTGGCAGCCCCTGCAGCCTGAGTTCAATCCCCAACAAGGGAGGTGACCCACATGGCACAGCAGACCTCTCCTCTCATCTGCTGCTCACTCAGCAGTGTGTGTCAGTCAGCCTGCATGATCTGCTCCCTTCTCGGTCTCTGGTGAATCCTCTCACCTTGTCTTCCCCTCTGGCCAGTATCCTGGTTCTTGTATGCATAAATAAGTACATCTTTTATAAACAAGGAAAAATCACTAAGTGCTCTATACAGTACCAAAAAACAGATGAGGTGATTGGGGTATAAGGTGGTAATTGCAGTAGTGAGGCAAAATCAGGTTCACTCTATAAAGGAGCTTTGGGCAAAAAGGAGATTAGAAGAATGGGTTGCTAATCAACTACTGTACAGAGGACATTTTGCTAATGACTTAACAGTGTTGTGGTTTCTAAATGTTGTCCTATGCTTCTACAGCCTGGGAAGACTAGGAGTTTCCTAGTCCTGCATAAGAACATCCTGGACTGATGTTACCTCCAGCAGGAAAAGGGGGAAAAAGGAGGACTTAATTTCTTAATTTGCTCTTAATTTCTTCTAATAGTAACTGACATCCCCTATCTTCCTGTTCTGAGTGTTCGCCGTCATTTTCAGATAACAAAACTTACAGATGATTAGTGAGGAAGCCTGTTTCTAACAGAAAGGGCATGGTTATTCTAAAACAGGAAATACCTTAATATTCTGTCTGTGGTGTTAGATCATGATTTATTTCTTATTCCCATCCATCTTGTATAGCCATAATCAAATGGTCCTACAGGACAAAGTAGAAGAAAAGATCAATTACATGTTCCTTGTAATCCTTTTTAATCAAGGCCTGCATTCCCTCCATTTCCAGAAAGAAAAGAGTTACAGTGGTGACAAGGACGAAGAAGAAAAGATAAAATGTAAACTGAAAGAGAAGGAAGTGACATCTACCAGTTCGGAAGCCCAGCCGTGTAGTGGTCAGGAGCCACCAACTGGATCGGTAGGGGCATGGGTCTCCTCATAACTAGTAACTTAGTGATCACGAAGCCCAATCGATTTCTCTGACAAAGCGTTTTTCTGGATACCCTCTGGGTCTCTTATCTGTGTCTGTCAGTTCCCTTCTTTCTTAAATCTAGTGCTTCCTTAAAGACCTTTCCTTCTATGTCTCCAGTCTGATTACAGTTCCAACCAGATGGAACAATTGGAACTGATGAAACAAAAGGTGGAAGAGAAGGACCAACTCATCAGGGACCTGCAGGCACAGCTGTGCTCTGCCGAGGCACAACACACGGCTCAGGTAGGATGGTGATGGGGAACTGACAACCAGTCAGGCTAAAGAGTCGCGATCCCATCATGGGAGTGTCCATGGCAGGTCCATTCCGGGGACACTTTTCAAGCTTTGATATTACAGACAAATGTGTTCACTAGACATAGAGTGTTGGTAGTGGAAGAAATGACAAGTGGTTTACCACTATGAACTTGTATTAGTCTAAGGACTGACAGTTTCTCTGTTTTCCAAGCCCAGATTTGACTTTAACAGCATGCAAGAAGGTAAGGGTGACAGTAGAGGGGAGGTGGGAGCAGGATGGGTCCCAGTGGTCTGTGGTAAAGGACTGTGGGAACTCTGTTGGTGGGCATGGTGTGGTGTCACATATCGGTTGGTGTTGTGAACCTGTTCCCTTAGTGGGTTTCTCTTCACTGACAGATATTAGGACATTTTTGTCTTTAACAGAACTGTGATTTTCTTAATTTTGCCATCTGCTGCTTCAGTGCATCAAGACTAGGGAGTTTCCGATAGGTTTTAGTCTGTAGACTACCGTCAGAAATAAAAACAATGAAAATGGGAGACTCGGTGTTACTTTAATTTCTTCTCATACAACTCCCCTACCAATGCTTCCTATTTTGAGTTGCTGACCATCATTCTCAGATAACAAAACATAGAGCTGTTTTTTGAGGGAGCATGTTTCTAATGGAAGGTACTCTTAATATTCCATCCTTGTGTTTGATCAGGTCTTATTTCTTATTCCCGTCCACCTGGTAACTACAATCACATGTTTGTAAAGGACAATGTGGAACAAAGATGAACTGTATATTCCCTGTAGTCCTTGTAAATAATTGCCTACATTGCCTCCATTTTCAAAATGAGATGACCCCCCCAAGAGGGGCTGATCAACCCCAGTTTAGCAGCATTGCAGTGCACACTGAAAGAGAAGGAAGTGGTCATTAGCAGCTTGCAGGCAGCTGCTCAAAGTTGGCACGGCCACAACTGGATCTGTAGGGGCGTAGGTCACTTCATAATCAGTAACTTAGAGATCACTAAAGCCCAACCGATTCCTCAGTCCAAAGTGTTTTCCGGGATACCTCCTGTACTTTTCATCTGTGTCTATCCGTTTCCTTCCTTCCTTTTGAAATCACGTGATGACTGCACTATGCCATGTTGTTGGCGTTTGTCTCTTGTATTTGTTCAGCCCTGTAGGGCCACCTGCAATTAGTTGATAATGAGTTACATGCACACACAGAGGCCTTCTATTTTCTGTTTTTCTTATCCCTTTTCTCTTAAGCTTGGTTTTGCTCCTAGAAGTTTCTCTTTTGTGACAGTCTGTGCTGATAAGACACTTTTGAGAGTTCAGAGGCCCTACTGAGATTGTTCCACCTTTTGGTGCTCTTCACTGTGGACCCTTTAATGTGCCCACTACTAAAGAGCGGGCAAAAATTGTGCCATTTTTACTACTGTGCTACGATTGACTGAGTGTGCTTTCCAGTAAGAATTTATTGTCCATTTGAGGGTTGTCTTCACCAGGAAAATTGGAGGATCCTTGGAAATTGCCTTATGGTTACTTTCATGCTCTCACACAGTTTTTATTACCATGCAGGTCTTGTGTCCTCTGGTGATTTGTCCCCTCTTGCATATGCAAATGGGGTTGTGGGTTTACCATGCAAATTGTGTTACAAATGTTATGTGTGGACTTTCTGTTTTCCTGTGTGCTGTACTTTTTCACTCTGTGGAATGATACCAAGAAGAGGAATTGCAGAGGAATTGCAGCTCTAGCTTTTACCACATTCTGACAAATAATTTTAAGAAATGCCCTTTAAAAATCACAGCTTTCCCTTGTTTGGCTGAAATTAGAAGTATATGGTCTTTGGGGCCAATTAGGGAGACCAAAGGGTTGAGAGTGCCCATTCTCTTGTGGCAATAAATACTCTTTTTTTCTATGTCTTTAGTCTGATAGTGGTTCCAATGATACGGAACAAATGGCAGTGATGAAAAAGCAGCTCCAAGATCAGGATGAGGTTATTCTTATTTTGCAGGCCAAGCTGGTCATGACTGAGGCAGGTATGATGGGATACCTCATAACCAATTAGAATAAAGGTTCACAATTTTATAATTTTATAATACGAGGTCCATTCAGAGGATCGCTTTGCAAATATTAATGTTGTAGACAATAGTGTAAGTAGTAGACAATAGTGTAAGTAGAAGGAGTGATAGAAGAAGTTACAAGTTACCAATTTATGATTTTGTGTTAGTGAAATGGATGATAGTTTCATACTTTTGCAGGTTCAGGTGTTTGATGTTAATGGCATACAAAAGGGAAAGGGTCACAGCAAGCGAGAGATTGGGGAGAGCTAGGAACCACTTGTGTATGGTAAAGGACTATGTGGGTTCTGATTGTGTGCACGGTGTGGTGACATAAATAGGTGGAGGTTTGAACTTTTCCCTTAGTCAGTTTCTCTTCACTGACTGTATTTGGACAGTCTGTTCCTGACTTCACAGTGCTGTGGTTTTCTGATTTTCTCCCTCTGCTGCTTCTGTACGGCAGAGTGGCAATTTCCTATGTGTTTTAGTCCTGCTTAGTATTGACTGTTGTGACCCTTAGAAATTAAAAAATGGTGGTTCAGTGCTATTTTAATATCTCATAACTACTTTTCTCCTGTGTCTTCCTGTTTTGAGTTGATAATCATCATTCTCATATCACAAAACTTACAGCTATTTTGTGAGCGAGACTTTCTTTGCTTTCTTGTTTTTTTTTTAAATTAAGAGTTTACTTTTTGTTTATTTTCCATATATTTCATTTATTTATGCATACAGAACTGGGCTACAGGTCAGAGGTTGGGGTGGTAAGAGGATTCACTGGAGACAGATTGGGGAGCAGAACCAGCAGATCAACGAAGTACACTGCTGAGGGGAGCAGCAGGTGTACAGAGAGTTCTGCTCTGCCCTGTGGCTCAGCTCTAGGACCCCGGATCGAACTAGCACTGAAGCGGTTGTGGCTCCCTTGCTGCGTCCTAACCTGTTGTACCACCAGGGAGGGCCCAGTGATTCTATTTCATATGTACCAATTTATGACTTTGTTCTCCATGTCTATTTCTTCTACCAGTACTAGGGTATTAATACTGGCTCTGACACTCTCACTTCCTTTCTTTATTAATTTCCTGTTTGACAACCCACTCCCATATATTTCCTTTCAGCATGCTTTTCACACATGAAAATTTTTCATCATGAAGTGTCTTGGCTTAGTAGTTCATCTTTCCATTGGGTATATAATCATTTCTTATCGTATTAGCGGCACCTTTTACAGATTGACTACCGCTCTATATATAACTTAAATTTGTACATGCTGAAATCCTTACTTTTTCCATGAGCTTTGTTTATGTCCTTTTCTGTATAGCTTTTACATAAAAGATAGGATGGAGAAAGAGAAAATACTGTTTTACTAGCAATAGCTTAAATTACAATTATCCAAACGTAATAATTTAACAATTCTCAAATCATTGAGAACAAGTGCATAGCCACCTACAACACAAACTAAAATTATTGCTTATTTAAGGAACCTATTTTGGGAATGTGCTAAGGTTATATAGAACAGTTATGATTTAGACCAAAAAAAATGTGATTAGTAGATAATACAGACCAGGCAAGGAAAGGTATTCCACTTCTGAGAGTAGTGTGAGTGAAGTCTCAGAGGAAATATAATCTGGTACATTTATGGGAATGGATGTAGAGATGATTTTATCTAACATCAAGGACTCTAGTGCCTATCCAGTTGATCACAGAAGGTTCCATTTTCATAGTGGGGTCAGAATGCATGCAGTAAGAAAAATCTGATGTTATTTTCCCCCGATTTAGAATAAGAGCCAAGGTCAATTCAAGGTATCCCAAACTGAGGAACTGGCAGTAGTTGCAGGATCAGCACAAAATGTGCAAGTCGATGGCTGGTGGGCGTGCTTACCCACAGATCTTGGGAAAGGAAGAAGCAGGTGTAAACACAAAACACCTGAAAACAAAACACTGGTCTGGGCAGCTCACAGTCCTCTGCCATTTCCATTTCATGTTCCTGAGAGCCAGCGGTAGAGAAAGGTGACCTGGAAGCTTACGAGGAATGACAGCTGAAATTTCACCATCAAGAAGGCTGGGTGTTGTGGGTTGGGGACATACCACTTCTGTGGTCAAACAATTCTGTGAATAGAAGACTAGAAAGAATGATATATCGAGTTAGTGAATTTCATATATACACTGCATAGCTTTGAAGTTTTACTGTGGCCATTACTACTTAATTCAAAGTTTTGAAATTGAAAATTGAAGTGTGAAAGTCAAAGAATTGTTTAAGGTTAAATTGAGTTGACTTCACTTCGTATGTTTAATAATACAATCTCTGTAGAACTTTGTTAAAGCATTCCTCTTATATATTAAAACATTTCTAGTAACCATAACAGGATTTTTCATCAAAATGTATATTTAGACTAATTTTTGAATTTGATAATTGAGTTTCTCACTTTGGAAATTATCTTCTCACCCTTGACATCTGGGAATTAATTTAAAAACCCTATCATCTATCAACCCTCAGTGTCTTGTTTAGAATGTAGCTTATGAGAATGTAACTGGTATTGTTTCTCTGGTGTGTGTCATCAGTTGAATTCCATGCAGCTAGTAGTTCAAGAAAAAGATGCCCGATTTGAAACACAGGTTCGTCTTCATGAAGATGAGCTTCGTCAGTTAGTAACGCAGAAAGCTTTTAAAAACGCCATGCATCAACAGGTATGTTGCTGCAACTTAGTAAAATGACTCATTTTGGTTGACATTGACTTTTTATCCTGTCACGTTGCTGCCCTTACCACTGCTCTCCACTTGGTTTTAGTGTGCTCCTTATTTGGCTCTTTCTTTGTCATTTGTTTTCTGTGGCAAATCAATCATTATTTCTCTGCCTTCCCTTGCCTCTAGCCAAGGTGTTGGTACTCAACAACAGAATTTATTGGTCAAATGTATATGATAGTTAAAATTGGTCTGTTTGCTGATTGTAGTTTCCTTTGTGCATAAGAACATGATCCAAAGCTCTAAACAATGAAGTTATTTCTAAACTTTCAAAAATAAAGATAAGGAATGATTTTGAAGTTACCAAGTGTTTCATTAAATCAATAACTTAAAAAAAAAATTCAGTGAGGGCCCTCCCTGGTGGCACAGCAGGTTAAAGCACAGCACAAAAAAAAATTCAGTGAGTATATTTTGCAAATTGGGTCTTTGCAGTTCGCTGTATCACCTTTTAACTGCAAGGTACTTGTTTTTATTTAGTGCAGAATATAGTACCCAACGGCACTCCAGTGGTATTTGATGGTTGATCCATTTAACTGTTTTGAATGAAAACTTATTACGTTTTTTTTTTTTAAGATTTATTTATTTATGCATAGAGAACTGAAGTACAGGCAAGAAATGGGTTAGAGGGATGCAGAGAGCATTCACCAGAGACAGAGTGAGGAACAGAACAGGCAGACGAACAAAGTACACTGCTGAAGGGATCAGAGGGCGAGAGAGAAGTCTGCTGCATCATTTGGATCACTTCTTGGACCAGGGATCAAACTGGCACTGAAGTGGCTGTGACTAGCTTGCAGCGTTGCATCCTAACCTGTTGTGCCACCAGGGAGGCCCCTTCTTCCCATTTTTAAGCAGTCCTTCAGTATATGCCAGTACCATTTCAGAATATATACTTTTGAAATTATATTGATGTGTACAGGTGCCACTGATTTATTTAATCCAAGTGTTTATCAAGTGCATATTCTATATATGGATCAAATCATTTATTCCTAAAGAGAATGTTCTTTCTGGTGAGTAAGATATCCATATACCTATGTTATTTAAGTAGAAGATGTTGACTATGTAATTTTAATAGTGGGTATCTGTCTCTTTCTCTTAATTGTCAAAAAGGCTCACAGACTTGCTTTCTGTCAGTGTTCTGGAAAAGACATTCTTGGAGATTTTTTGTTGTATGACATGCTGGTGTCCCAGTTTTTAAATCTGTCATACTCAATCCAAAAATCTTAAGAAATATTAAGTACACATATCAATGTGGTATTTTAAAAGGTAAGCAGATACTGGTGCTCACTAGTTAGCATATTATACCTAAATTGTTTTCTTCACAGAAATTGAAGGTGCTACAGAGAAAACTTGAGGAACAGGAGGAGGCTTTGTCGGCCCGTGCCCAGGTGGTGGACTTGCTGCAGCAAGAGCTGCGAGTGGCTGAGCAGAGAAACCAGGTATCGCCCAGTGATCTCTACTGCCTGCCTCAGTGTCGGCAGCGTATTAGTTTGCCGAGCAGCAGGTAGAAATGCTATTACAAGGCTCCAGAGAATTGATGCTATTTATACATTCAAATCCCAGTTATCCACTTATTAGTTATGTGCTATTATCTGGTTAACTGTGACTCTTCCATTGAACTCGAAGCACTTTGAAGGTAAAGACTGAATTCATTCATTCACTTGCTCACTCATTAATTTGATATTGAATGAGTATCATGGAATTGATATGCCATATATTGTACTGGGTGCTGGAGTCAAATGATAGTAAAAACATACAACACAGATAATAGAAGTTCCTCCCCTTGTTGAACTTGTTAGTAGAGAAATAAATTAAAAGATAATGCCACCAGTAAGTATCGTTGAGTGCAAACTGTCAAATATCAAAAAGTAAAATCAGAGGAACATGTGCAATTGTATCTAGCCCAGGCTTCACCTAGAAGAGGCACTTTGCTATGCTTGTTGCTATAGAAAAATGATTGTTTGACTCATAAGACTATTTTTTCCTGTAGAGTATGTCTCAGTATATACAGCAGATGGAAGTTGAGTGTACGACTCTAAAGAACGTTGTGGAAACAGAAAGGAAAGATGCTAAACTTCTATATGAGAAAATGGAACTTGCAGAAGCAGAGAGAAAATCATCTTCCCATAGGCTGCAGGAAGAAATCTACTATCTTCAGGAAGAGCTTGAGAAAGCACGTCAAGCCCAGGCTGCAATACAGTCCAGGTACAATGCTTTGGAGCAAAAACACACAGAAGACATGGAAGAAAATGTCTCTCACATTTCCAACCTTCAGTATACTGAGCAAGAACTGCGCTCTCTCTGTGAAGTGCTGAAAGATGAAAATTCAAAACTCCGTCAGGAAAAGAGTGAAATGGGAGTTCATTCAGCTCAAGCCATTCAACATTTGGAAGGTGAGTATTTGATTCCTTTTGAAGTCCACTGATCTAGCGCGAGTGACTCTTACTTTAAAATTTCAGAGATCTATTAATGACATAATTTGTTCAAACCAAGTGAATCAGTAGTAGGATGAGGAAGGGGATTTGTGCTGCAATCTTTGTTGTATTTTCTCCTGCTTCTGTCTGAAGTTATAATCTGGCATCCTGTTATATTACCATGACCACATTTAAAACTGTTGATAGTACTGTGTGAAACATGACTGTACTGTGAAGGACTGAATGACTGAAATGAGTAAGATTTGAATTAATTTATAGTAAACTATGGCCAGATCTCAGTCTGAAAGTCATTTCGGGCCCTCCCTGTTGGCACAGCCGGTTTAAAGCACAGCACTAAGAAGTTTAAGCCACTTCAGCATGAGTTCAATCCCCGCCTCCCCGCCCCAGAGGAGATCCACATGGCGAGGCAGACCTCCCCTGACCCGCCCACTGCTCCCCTCACAGTGTACTTCGTTCATCTGCTTATTCTGCTCCCCACTCTGTCTCTGGTGAATCTTCTCACCCTCCACATCTCTGGCCTGTACCCCAGTTCTGTATGAATAAATAAATAAATCTTTAAAAAAAAAAAGCCACTTCATCATGAGTTCAATCCCCAACCTGGAGGTGACCCATATGGCGCAAGGCAGACCTCTCTTGACCTGCCTGCTGCTCCCCTCGGTAGTGTACTTCATTGGTCAGCCTTCACAGCACTTCACAGAGAGAGCGCAGTTCTCCGTCCCACACGGTCTCTGGTAAATTCTCTCACCACCCCTGCAACTCTGGCTTGTACCCCAGTTCTATGTGCATAAATAAATCTTTTTTTTTTTTAAAGTGTCATTTAGCTAAGATAATTGAAGGAGAGTGTATTCGTAGACAATAGTCACTCACTAAGCTTCAGACGTAAGACTGAGACCATTTCTATTTACCAATTTTCTTTTTCTTAGATGAACACCATCAAACAACCAATCAATGTAGTGACTATCTGAATAAGCCAGTCTTACCAAAACAAGAAACAGCATCTCAGACTTCTCCAGATGTTTATAAGGAAAGCACCGAGGTAATGAAATGCACACTTCTTATGGGTATGATCTATTTGCCTTTGCTGTATTTGTACTTCAGTTTTATAATGGGAGATAATTTATCCAGAGAGCAAGATAAGCCTTCTGATTTTTCTGTCTTTTAAATGCTTCTGGGGAGGCAACTGCATTTGAAAGGAGTCATGAGATACATTAGTGTCACAGCAATGAATGAGAAAATCCTAGGTAACAAGCACTGTCGGAGACCAGCTCCAACTTTTGAGGTGTCTGGAGGCAATACAGGCAGAACCCTAAGATGGGAAGGCGTCAGCGTGCGGAGATTCCAAGAGGGGGAGAGAAGCGGGTGCAAGGAAGACGCGGGAGTCGGAGTTGGGTGGAAATCTTCCTGCTCTGCCTTCAACAGAGGTTTATTTTATACATTTCAAGCAGGCAGGGGGATGGCATTAGCATACAAAAGGGGTTGAGATCACAATCACCTTTTTTCTAAGAATGGTC